TCCATACTTCGTTATTTTCTAAGGAGACGTGCCTCACTCGTTCCCCTCTCCATGTGTGCCTTTGCTACATACTATTGTAACTGCTTGATCAATACAATATTGTATTAAGTTTATTAATTAATCCGTTATGTTCATATTTTATAATATAGTATCATGATAAAGTGAAGTTTAAATAAACGATATTAATGTTAAGGCCGGGTCAATTTTGATTTAATTTTGGAGATTCAAACTAAATAATATTATAGAAGTTTTATATTAATAATAATTAAAGGTAGAAAGAGAATCCCTCAAATTTTTAATTTTTAGAACTTTTAGTAGAATTTAATCCCTCAATTAATATCACTAAAACCAGACATGAATTGAAATAAAAGCTTTATAAATCTTATGGTTTTGAAATATTTGAAAAATTGTATCATGTTTACATCAATATTATTCTGTTAACTAAATGAGAAAAACATTTAAATCTTGCCAGAAAATCAGTCATTGTTTATATTATATTACATACCTACTTAATTGGTCTTCTTTATTGTAACTACCTATACAGTATTTCCCTTAACAATTTATTAATAAATACCTGGTGTAAATCAATGGGGATATTAGAAATATAAATGTTTGTATTACTATTTATTATGCCCGCGGCAACATAGGCCATTAGATGGAAATCATGGAAAAATACAAATAGTTAAAACACATGAAGCACACTTAAATACAAGTTGAAAGTTACAATGCGCTAATGATATTAAATGTAATTGAGGAGATTGGAGGTGATGATAAATTGTATTGGGGTGGCAATTGAGTTGGGGTCCTGGTTGACTGCTGTCGAGAGTGTATCTGAAAGTGTCGTATTTTCTCTAATTWATGTGTATATGTGGCTTTCTTTAGACATTATGTTGCTTTAAAACAGTAAATATTTTCAGGACACATTATATAGTCAATTATTAATTCAATATTTTCATCATTATATATTCGTTATTATGTTTTTTCAGACTACATTGCATAATCAATTTATAATGTTAAATATATTCTGTCTTCACTAGATAAAACTTATTTCACTGAGGAAGAACTCAAAAAAGTTGGTGATATGTACAAACATTTGGATTGGTACATGAGGCGCCATAAATCTATGGCTTCCAGCATAAATGAGGAGGATTTGTGTATAATATGTTATTCAAATAAGAACAATGTGACTTTGATACCGTGTAAACACCAATGCTGCAAGTGAGTTCATATTCATATTTTAGTCAACTTAATAGTTACTAAAGTTCATAATAATTTTAAAAGTCCTAACAATTTTACTCAATACTCATTACAACTTATAACAGTTATTTTAATATGTTATAATGTTATGTAAAAGCGAATAATACGTGGGTAGAATACATTTAATGCACGAAAAKTCATGTGCTTAACAGCTTAGTCACATAAATTTATACTACAATGCAAATTAATTTATCTGCAAAAATTCACAATTCCCAAATAAAAAATGCTATATTTTTCATAAACTAAGTGGCATATAATAAGTCTCTGTGGGATATATTGCAGCATTGGGGATTAGTCTATTTAATACTATTTATCATCTCTTTTAAAAGAGAAGGCGTTTTGGGAATCAAAGTTTCCMAAATAAAATTATGTACGCTTGCGGCTTGCCTACAGTGTAACTAGTGAAATAATTCCGATTAATTAATCTTATGATGAAACCTTGCTTTGAAATATTTATGATAAACTATTTATATTAGCATTAAATAATCCATTTATTGCTCTTCATTCATAGCTTTAACTTCTTATTTAATTAGTATGTACTTAAAATTCAAATTTAACAAGATTCAATACGAATTTTATTTTTTAAAGACACGTGTTCGATGAATATTCCTATACACATTAAATACACGTTTTTATCTAGTGGATGTTTGGGCTTAAAATATCTATTATTAAGCCAATCAATGTACAAGTGATTCACTGAGCATGCTTATCGCCTTTTTTTCTCTAACAACGCAGTTAATCAAAATATGATTTTAAGATTTTTAAATTTACTTATTTAAACACCATATTTGTAAATTCTMTTCTTTTTTTATACTACTTTAAAAGTGTCTYGTGGAGGTACAAACATCTGTTTCTGAAATTTCTACTCTCTTTTTATAAAAAAAAGTTATTTAATAGATAATTTTTCGAAACTTTTCTTTACCAAATTTAATATTAGGTGAGTAGTTTTTTAACTTTGCGCTCTTTAAGAATATACCCACAATAATGGGTTTGAAAAATAGTAGGGCAGTGGTATTTTGAAAATTCAAGTAATTTTTGTCAATCTTTTACTATTTAAAATGTATATAAACAGACAAAGTATAATAAATACTAGATCCAATATAACATCTATTTTATATTTTGT